AACGGAAATTGGTGCCCGGTGGAAAATCGAGGGCATCAGCTGCGCTACGCTTTGTTTTGGGCCGGGATCACTGAACTTTGGCTTACTTGGCTTTAGGCTTGGCTTAAGCTTAGGCTTAGGCTTAGAATTAAGCTTAAGCTAAGGCTTAGATTCGGCTTAAGCTTAATCTTCGAATCTACGACGACACATTGGATACACTTTGCCCAAACATACACGCCTGGAGGCCGAAGGGGCGAGCCCGGATGCAACATTCTCCTCCTCCCCCCCTATTGCTCCCCCAGTTTTGGGCCTCTTTCTCGCCCATTTCTGGGCCCTTTTGCCTGGGGGCCCGCTTTGCTTAGGGCCCACCGGGGTGCTTGCCCTTCAGTGGCCTTCCACCTCTCTAACTCACCTACTGGTTTTACTCTTTATTCGCGCGGCGCACCACCTTGAATAGCCGGGCCCCGAGCCGGCCGTCTGGCCATTTTTTTGGTAGTTAGGGGAGGGGATTTTTAGCCGCACGTCAGCTAGAGTGCGTTTTTCGAGAAAGTGCACTTTTCTTTTACTCGATACATCATCGACTTGATAAGTCTTGTGAAATTGAATTTGGGCATTCCAGCCAAAATGCCGACAGGTAAAATCCCGACAACCAAATTGGCTGTTGAAAAAGAATTTGCAATTAAATTAACGTGAAGGATATGTCGGGATTTTGGCTCGTTACGGGAATCCTGACATATACTTGGCCTATTCCTATTCACTAGCTTGAATGCATTTTTTAAGCACTTAATTTGCATGCGAGGATTTCGCCGGTCGAGATTGTGGGTATCGGGATTTTGGCGTTTTCTCGTTCTTGGCCATTTTCAGGCTGTTATTGCTCCGTTGCCATTTATGCCGCGAGAGAGAGAGAGAGAGAGAGAGCGAGAGAGCGAGAGAGAAAGAGAAAGGTAGAATGACAATGAGAACAAATATCCGAGTTTATACAAAATTCTAAAACTATCTAAAAACCAGGCGAGGGTTTTTTTAATTTTAACGCCTGGTTTTATCGTCTGTCCTTAGCTTTTCTATACCCACCTCATTTTCGCACAATGTCCCCTTGTGCAATTCTCCTCCCTGCGGCCTTTTCGTAGGTGTAGAACTAGGCGGAACGGGGCGTGTGAGAATTTGAGAGACCCCGGACTCGATGTAGCCTGAGGGTATTCCCAGACATTTAGTCCCCCACACACACCAAGAGGCCCATATTACGTACCTGCCAACCGAACCTGAAAACGCTCTCTCTCTCTCTCTCTCTCTCTCTCTCTCTCTCTAGGTCATTCCACGCAACAAATGAAATATCGAATGTTGGAAGGGTAGACGACCAGCGTGTAACTTGAGAAACATCAAAAAGCGGCACATTTTTAGCTTGCGCGCACTCGCATCAGTAAAAGTAATGGGCTGGTCGTTGATCAGCATTAGGCTTAGGCTTCGGTTTAGGCTCCGGCTTGGGATCAGGCGTAGGCTTATTAGACTTTGGCTTATGCGTAGGCTTCGGCTTAGTCTGTAGCAGCCTTAGACCGAAGATTTTACGACTTAAAGCTTTTGGTTGGTTCTTAAATATCCGAAAACCCCAATGACCATCTAAATACACCCCCAAAACGGCCAGAGTAATAATTCGTACCCCAACAAGTCGTGAGAAGTCGTGCAAGTTCTATCTCTCTTTCTCTCTCCCCCCCTCTCTCTCTCTCTCTCTCTCTCCCGCTCTCTTTCTCACTCTAGGCGAGTTTTGTTGCGAAGCGTTCCACCCCATTCACAAAAGTACTCCCAGCACCGGTGCGCCGACGGCTGCTGTTTTTTGCTCGATTTCCCCCGAATGGAAGGTAGGGGCCAACTTCCGTTTCCCAGTCCCTGTGCTCATGCTCCGGTCCTCTTAGCCTTTGCCCGCATTAATGGCCCTGAGAAGAGGAGGAAATTCTGTGTGCGCCAGTTCGGCTGAACTGCTCGTTGATGTTGGCGGCGGTTCAAGGGGGATTTGGTCGGCAAAAACTATTAGAAAGCAGCTATGCTAATTTGAAAAATTGCGCCTTGGATTGCTACAGCGTCTTTGAAATTACGGCACTAAGGCTTTACATATTTTTTCATAAAACTGACTTTTTTGATGGCTGGACCAACTAATTTTTTTCGGTATCTGGATCTCCGCCTCAATCTCGCGCTCTTTCTAGCTGTCGCTCTGATTGGTCCTCTCTCTCTCTCTCTCTCTCTCTCTCTCTCTCTCTCGCTCCGTTGTCTATCAGATTTCTAGCGTGTTCTCGTGCGCACATTTTTCCAAGTTCTCAAGCTCAGAAATTTCCCTGTCACGCTCCCTTTAATGGAAATTTTCTGCCCGCTTCGCTCTTTATCTTTCAACCGTTCACCATCCCTTTAAAACCATCTAAATCTAACCACCCTCCCCGAAATTCTACAGCTCGGAAATCGATTTCCGGGCCCTGGACTCGACGGGGGAAAAGCTTTCGGGCAAAGGCGGAAAAAGACGAAAGAGACGTGGGTTTTCCGAAAATCATTCCTGGCTGTGGGAGCTCGGGCTCCCCCCATTGGGATCGTTTGCGGGTTCTGGGTTTTGGTTGTGCCATGTGGGGTGGGGTGTGTGTTTGTGCGTGCGGTTTTGGGGGAAATTGGTTTAGAGGGCCCAGGGGTCCAGGGCCCACTGGATTGGTCTAGGGTCGAATTGGGGCAGCCAGTTACAAGGTAGGGGGAAGGAACTTTTGGATTAAAGAGGTTGAAAAAATGCCTTGGGACGGGGTTGGGTTTTTGGAAAAGGCCAAAATACCCAAGCCGAAAATGCCGACATCGAATATCCCACGGAAATCCCACGAAAATCCTAGATTCAAGATGCCGAAATGGCAGAATACCGATATCCCAATACCGACATTCGAAATCTCAACAGAACAAACACCCGGAGACTAAAAAACCCAACATGAAAACGCCGACTCGACAAAATGCCGACAGCGAAAAAACCACCGGTGCCAAAATACCAACCGTCAGCCCCGCGACTTTCAAAATACCGACACCCAAAATACCGACAACCAAAATGCCAACAGTCCGAATAGTTTTATCAAAATCCTAGATTTCGACAGCCCAAAATGCCGACAATCCAAATAGCTTAAAACCCGAACCCCCCTAAAATGCCGACAGCCAAAAACCCGCGCTAGAAACGAAAAACCTGAATTAGCGGGATCTCGCCCAAAAACTGGAGTTATACGCTTAAGGCAACCAACTTTTTTTCTCCGTCAAACTCTATCGAATCCACTTATCCACATCCTCTCCCAAAGCCGTTGTTTTCTACTGGCTTCTCCAAATGTCGATGTGCTCCCCCCCTCTATTCCCACCCAAAACAAGAAGCGGCTACTCGGCCATTCATAGCCGTCAATCAAGATGAAACAACCCGGGGAGGCTGAGGCTCCGGCCCAAAATGCCTTCCGGTCATATCCGAGCCGCACCCCCAACTACACACAACACACACCATCCTACAACTTATATGATTATTAATAGGGGCTTGGCTTGGGCTTGGGCTTAGGCGTGGCTTTGGGCTTTGGGCTTAGGCTTAGGTTTAGGCTTAGGCCTAGTCTTAGAATTTGACGATGCATTTGCCAATTTGGGAACTAAATGGCAATTTATGAGAGCCTCAGTCCGTTAGTTCGCATTTTTGCGCTTAAAGGTGGCGAGACACGACAAAATTTTTTCTTGGATGAACGTGCCACAGTTCACTTTCAAGAGGCGCACGACATGGACTTAGAATTGTTTCGCTATTTTTGGCTTGATCTCTACGTTCTATCAGCAACTCCTCTCTTTGCTTTGCTCTTCTCTCTGTCTCTGCCTCTCCCTCTCTATTTCTCTCTCTCTCGCTCTCTCTCTCTCTCTCTCTCTCTCTCTCTCTCTCTTTCTCTCACTTAACGTCGCCCCAATCTACCATTTTCAGCCGTCTCCCACCGTTCCTCCGGATCACCCTGGCATCGTGTGCCCACCGGCCGGCCGTGATTAGGAGGTATGCCTAGTATGATACCCCAACCGGCTCCCTAGCCCCCTTCATTAGCCACCAATTCGGAATTCGTCGAAGCGGCTCCACGAGGCCCATAAATAGCCTCGGGGCACATACACCGATCCCCCGGGTTGCATTTCCCATTCCGCGGCCCATTTTTCCGGTTTTTTCGAGTCCACGCGATACACCCAGCCGTGTGATATATGGCTAGCCAAGGGAGGGGGGATTTTGTTATTTGTGGTTTTGCTTGAATCCGAATTTTTCGGTTTTGATTCTATGAAATTTAACCGAAGCCGAAGGTTGAGCAGATGTCTAAGCCTAAATCCAAAGCTAAGCCTAAGCCTGAGCCATAGCTCATGCTCATTTTCCAGATTTGGGCCACACGTCGACGAGCCAGCAGCCACAGCAGCAGCCACGGGCATCGGCGTCGATGCAGCCGAGGGAACACAGGAGGTATCTCTCGCGCTCTCTCTCACTCTCTCCCGCTCTCTCGCTTCCTCTTTCTCTCTATCTATTTCTCTTCAACATGTCTCTCCCGTTTAGGTTGACAACAGCTGAAGCCGAGGCTCGGGGATGGAGAACGAGCTGAAGGAGATCGAGGGCCTAATCGATGAGGAGGAGGACGGTGATCAGCCCCAATCACTCACATTATCAGGAAGGCTCAAAAAAGTACGTTACGCTCCAAATTCCCGAAAATCCGCAAGTGTAGTGGGCCCGGGTCGTTGGCCCGCACGTCGGGCTGGTCATCGTTGTTGTCGTGTATGGCCTGCTCGGCGCCTGGTTCTTCTACAGCTGGGAGTCGCCGCACGAAGATGGGGTACGTGGGTTTGGGATTAGGCATAGGTTAGGCTTAGGCTTAGGCTGAGGTTTGGCTTAGGCTCGGGCAAGCTAGCAGAGATTTTTGCTGAAGCCCTTAAAACCCTATATTTTTCACATAGACATTTCACAAGAGCCAACTAGTAGTGACTCCTTAGGAAAACACATTTTTTAGCTAAAAGCCCGCGGAACGGCGATGGTGAAAGGCCTGCGGTTAGAGCTGATGAACGCGATGCACGACAGGAATGCACTGTTAAAGGTACGGTACTAGGGGTTTGAAGTTTTATGCAATTTTTAAGAGCACCTGGAGAGACGACATCGAGAAAAAGCTGGCAAACTACAACCAGAAGCTTTTCCTGGCTTTTAAGGAACAATATGTTAGGTGGGCAGGCTTACTCGTCTGTTCGCTATCTCTCTCTCTCTCTCCCTCTCTCTCTCCCTCGTTCTCTCGCGGATTCGCTAAAAACAATACTTTTATTTTTTTTGAGGTACCCCGATGTAAGAGCACGGCCACTTGTCGAATCGTCATCAGAAGAAACGAGTAGTGAAGAGACTGGACGATCCAGACGACATCGGTAAGTTTGCCTCTCTTGCCCCTCGCTCTCTCGCTGTCTCTCTTTCTCTCTCTCTCTCTCTCTCTCTCTCTCTCTCGCATATTCAAATTTTTCAGCCAAGGAAAATCCCGCTCGGGCCGTCAAAACAAAATGTGGACCCCCGCGAGCGCCATCTTTTTTGCAGCTACGACAATGGCCACAATTGGTGCGTGTTAAATTCGGTCAAATCCGCAATTTTTGTGTTAAATGGTCCTTTGAAATTCGGGTTTTGACAAATTTTCCTTAAGGTTACGGTAACATCGTTCCGGTGACACCTACCGGCAGGATTGGTTGCGTCATCTTTGCATTGATAGGAGCTCCCTTGGCTATTATTACTATCGGTGACTTGGGAAAGTTCTTATCAGGTATGTCTCTCTCTCTCTCTCTCTCTCTCTCTCTCTCTCTCTCTTTCTTTCTTGCTCTATCTCTCTCGCTCTCTCCTTCTCGATTTTGCAATTCAGAATGCACCATCTGGCTGTACAAGCGGATGAAGCGCGGCTGGGCGTGGATGCGCCAGGCCCTCCGGCGGGTTCGCGCCAATGGCAAAGGTATAAAGTAATCCCAAAATTTTAATCCCAACCATACCCCCAAAATACACTACAAAATACACCCATCCAAACCTTAACCCAACCCACCCTTTAGAAGAGTTGGAGCCGTTTCTACCGCGGCTACGGCGTCGCGGCTGCGAGCCAGGTGCCCGCAACCGCGTTGCTCACTCTCTCTCGCTCGTACTATCTCTAACCGGGACCTTTCCCTCGTCACTATGTTTCTCTGCTCTCTCTCTCTCACTCCCTCGTCGAATGTGCTGCCCTAATTTTCTTTTACATTTAAACTTACCCTTGGAATGAAGGACTGGATGGAGGGTGGATGATTCCGATACTTTACTGGGTAGAAATGAGAGAAGGTAGGCTTGGGCTTGGGCTTAGGTTTAGGCCTCGTTTATTGTTTTTAGTAAGAAAACGAATAAAAAAAGAAATTTTGTTTTGGAAATTCATCTGAACCTCGTAAAGTATCGGAATGGGTGTCGTCTCAGTTTTGATGTCGTCGCACGACCGACGGCAGTGTTTGGGAGCCCATTCTGTTGCAAAAATCGCCCAAAACTCCCTTGAACTTTGCATAAACCGAGTTTTTTTTAACTCCCTGCCCGCCGAATTTGCACGAGGATTGACTGGGCCTTGGGGTGAATGCTTGAATGAGGGGATTTTCAGGGTAATTGGATGGATTTTCAGATATTGTCGACGAGGCCGACGAGGTGTCGCAGGCCTCCTCGAAAAGCACGCTCAATTGGGACACGTTTGTTATCGACAAGACGGAGGTGCCGGTGCTCCTCGTCTTTGCCATTCTTCTTGTGGGTTTTTTCTTAGGTTTTCGCTTGCGTTCTCTCTCTCTCTCTCTCTCTCTCACTCTTCACGGAACTTCTTGGAATTATCCGATTGTGGCTTTTCGACATTTTCGGACCTTGTGACCCTGGCCTCCAGGTCATATTCTGGTGCTGCCGCCTCCCTAGCCCTCTCATTCTCTAGATCACGCTCAATCTGTTGATCACTCTCTCTCTCTTTCTCTCCCTCTTTCACTCTCTTTCGCTCTCCTTATCACCTACACAACAAAAACGACCGTTTTTTCCAGCTGTATATCGCGTTCGGCGGGTTGCTGTTTATGTTCCTCGAAGACTGGTCGTACATGGACGCCTTTTATTACTGTAGGAAGTCAATAAAAAATGAAATAAAACTTTTTAGATCCTTGATATATTTTGATTTTAATTATAATAGATATGTTAAGCTTAAATTTAATAAATCGACTTTTCCAGCCTTTATTTCACTCACGACAATCGGGTTCGGCGACATCGTGCCGGAAAATCATGAGTAAGTAGATTTTATTTGTTTTCTGGCTGGAACCATCCCTTTAAAAGTCGGATTCTAGAAAATCCTAAAAAAATGACGTGTTTTTCCAGCTATATCGTAGTGATGCTACTGTACCTCGGCGTCGGGCTGGCCGTGACGACAATGTGCATCGACCTTGTCGGCATCCAGTACATCCAGAAGATCCACTACTTCGGCCGCAAGTTCAAGGGCACCGACCTGCTGCAATTGCTCAAGAGGAAGAGGGCCATCGGTGGGTTATGCGGGGTTTATTAACGAAACTAGCTGAACACGTTGAACTCCTGGAACTTGCGGTCTTGCTAGCTCTAGATCAAGATCCTTAGGCTTGCTGAACCGCTTCAACCTGTTTAACTTCTTATCTGAGCTGAATTTACCTGAACTCTTGGACCTCAGGAACTCTTGCATTTTTTGCGCCTCATTGAACTCCTTGAACTTGCCGCAAAGTTTGATTTTTCGGAAGATCTACGATTCCTACGATTCTCTGAACAGCTTGAACTCGTGGGGCGTATATGTTTTCTCTAACCTTTTCCGTTCCTGAATTTGAAAGCGATTGGACAGCTTCAACTTGTTGTTCATCATCCTGTTCAAAGTCGATTTTGCCTCATTGAACATCTTGAACTCCTACAGCTTGCGCTTTAGTTTTAGCTAGAATAAAAAAAAATCAGAACGCCCTAGGCTTCTTGAACATTCTCGCTACAGAAATGTTCACAAACCCGTTGAACTCCTTGAACTTCATGGAACCAAAAAACACTATTTTCAGAGCGCCACCTCATGCGCAGCGGTGCTACGAACGAACAGGTGATGGAGGTGATGAAGCATGTTTTGGATCACATGTAAGTTGCTTTACAGCCCAGGATTATCCTAAAAGATCGCTGCTTGTACCCCCAATTTAGCCACGAGTCCGAACCACCGCCAATATTACTGACGGATCGGTATGAGAAGGTGTCGCTCATTCAGCATACCCCCACGCCAAGTACTCCGTCGGCGATGTAAGTGGGAGAGAGAGAGAGAGAGAGAGAGAGAGAGAGCGAGAGAGTGAGAGAGAGATAGAGATAGACAACATGCGAAAGAGACAGGGAGAGAGGGGCGAGGGAGAGAGGGAAAGAGAAAGATAGATCGAGATAGAGAGAAATATACCTAAAATTTCCAGCTGGGTGGAGGACGAGCTGATGAGGAAGAGCCCGCCTAGGACCGATTTTCCTACTGTAGAACGGGTACCCTCACCGACGATTATGTCAATACGAAGGTATACAATTTACAACCCCTCGTGTGAGACACCTCCCTAATTTTGTGTGAACCGGATGAAGTCGTTGGCCTCAAAGGCCTGAAAATTAGCTTAGGCTTGGGCTTAGGCTTAGGTTCAGACCCAACCTTAGGCTTTCGCCAACGATCCCATCCTACAGACACCCCGTATTCTCCCGTAGCTTCATCCCCCATGCACCATTTCAGCTGGCGACCGCCATCTCGATACAGCAACTCGTCGGCCAGCGCTCGATCAATGTTAGTTTTCAAAGTCCGAGTCCTTTAGGAATTTCCAAATTAAACAATGACCTATGGTATACTGTAGGATGTGGCAACGACTGAGGTCCCGCGGCGAATCCTGGGACGAGAGTGGCCCTTCGGTCTCTGATCACTGCTCCCTCTCCACCGAGCCATCTGTGCACCTACGCGTGGTAGCCCCTTCCCTTTCACAACCCCTCACTTACACATCCCTTTAATGCTTGCAGAACTACTGGGACGAGTATAGGTCACCACAGCCATCGCTTCTCGACTTCCAGTTCGACTTCCCGGCGCCTAGTCCGGATTATGAACAGATCGGTGAGAGCGACAGAGAAAAAGAGCGATAGAGCGAGAGGGAGAGAGAGTGAGTGCGTGAGAGAGAAAGAGAGAGAGAAAGTGTGAGAGAGACAGAGAAAGAGAGCGAGAGAGCCAAATTTCTCAAAATCCATTCATAAACCCCGAATTTCAGCGCTGAGCGCCAAGCGTTCCCGTCGAATCCGTTCATGCCCGGGCAGCTACGCAGTTCCATCCCCTCCCCCTGCCGGCGGCCCCTCCTCATCTACTGCCTCCACCTCATCCTCCGTAAGGAATCGCCGATGGGGAATTCCTTCTTCCTCTAACTATCGTCGTCGTTCGTTGAGCCGCCTGCTGGCCCTTCCTCAGCTCAGTTCCCCATCTCCTCCACCGCTCGAGCTGCCCCCGCCCGCCTCGTTCAGCATCTCCGAGCCCTTCATGCTTGCCAAGCTTGCCCAACAGGTCCGACTCGAAATTGTGCTAAAGTTGATGCTCAAAAGTTACTTTTGTTTTTGGGGGGCTCTTCGAAAATTTTACATGATCGGAAAACATTTAAAAACTTATTTTTCTCGAATTTTCAAAGGTATCAGCAATACAAAATCCAGATAATTTCATCAAATTTCCCCGGATAATTCGTAGCTATTTTGCAAACAGAAAAAAAACTTAAAATACTGAGTCGGACCTCCCGTGTGTGCCCTCCCTTATGTCGCATTTCGCGTGCTGCAGTGTGAGCTGTTGGAACGATGGGAGAGTGAGCAGCAGCTGATCGGCTTCCAGTCGCCGAGGAAGCCCATGTTCCACGTCGACGAGGAGGAGATCCCCGCCAGTCCGTCCTATCCGCTTACCCCGCCAAAAGGTGTGCTAATTTGTTGCCTATGCGTAGGCTTAGGCTTCACCTGCTTTGTGTGTAAAGAGGTGTGCATTGTAGCGGTATCCCCTCCTGCCGTGTCAAGGGATCCTGACATTCCCCGGCTTCCGCTTCACCTCGTCAGCCCTCCCCTCTCCGCCAACCGTACGCTATTCCCGATCCCGGAATCGAGGCGCAGCTCCATCGCCCCGACCCCGTCACCCGAGCCGGTGCTCAAGGTCCGCTTTACGTGTTTTTGCTTGGCTTTTGGTTAAATTTTGCAGCTTTTCGGTTCTGGGCTGTTAGCGGGGGTGGGGGTATGATTTTTGCCGGAGAATGTAGGCTTTCTCGTCTACTTGCTAACAGCCCAGAACCGTTGCAGCAACATTTCCGCATCCCAGCTTTGACTGTCCCCCTTTTCTCAGAAAAAGAAACGAGCCCGGCAGCTGAAGAAGCTGGACCCGCTGACGACGATGGGGTGGCTGAACATCTCGCCGAGGAATCGACAATTGCTTGAGGCTGTTAAGAGTGGTATTTCGCTTTCAGTGTCGCTTTTCCTTTTGTGGATGACGTCTGCAAGGAGGTTAACGGGACTGTGCTGGCATGAAGGCTTAGGCCTGAAACTTCCAGTCCTTTTAAACACCTGAACTGCTTGCCGACCTACCGCTTGCTTTGTCAGATTTGCCGACGCTGTTTGACGCTGTCCGTCGCGAATCGTCCGCTTCTGCCGCCTCCTCTGTCGTGCTTGTCAGCCCGCAGAATGTGAGCAACAGCTGCTTGGCTTGAGCTTCAGGCTTTTGATCCCTCTCGCCTTCTCTCTCTCTCCCTCGCTCTCTCTCACTCTCTCACCGCCCCTTTTCAGCCGATCGGGCTGGCCTGTATGGAAGAATGGGATTCGTACATTCGAATGTTGGACGAGTGCCAGCGCCCATTCACCCGGTACGTTTTTTAATCTTTTTCTTTACCCGATAAACAACTGAATTACGATATAGAACTTTTAAGAAAGCGTCAAAAATACGGCTAATTTAGCACTCTATTTTTTTTAGAAAAATTCAGTTTGAGACACGCTGCGTTCAGTTTTGAAGATCGCCTAAAAAAATAAAAATAAATTACAAAAATCCTGCATGTTTTTATGTTATGAGGAAAGTCTATGTCGATAATTGTCTAAATGTCAGCCGGGAAAGGTGGGGGGTTACGGTAGTTTGGGTACAGGATGGTTTTTGCAGCTTAATGTTAGGTCCCGGCTTAGGCTTAGGCTTAGACCTATCCTTTCCGACTGGACCACGAAACTACCGTAATCCCTCCCTGATTTTCCCCAAAGCCACTAGAATAAATGTCTAATTTGCATGTAAATTTCATAAACCTAATCCCCGAGTCTCTATCCCCTTTAGGAGAATGCCACATTTAGGCGAATTTTTGAAAAAGCCGCAAAACGCGAGCTCCATCCCGAGCCGTCGGAACGAACGGAAGAATGGAGACAACCGGAAACGATAGCCGAGATGGTGAACGAAGTAGTGGCCCAAAATATGGCCCGGGAGGCAGGAGTGTCGCGCACGATGCAACGGGTACAGCCCCGCCCACCTCCGAGGTTGAGGGTCACGATGGAGTGCGAGGTGGCCGAAAAGGTTTGCTAGGGCCGGAGGGGTTTAAAGGGATGGTGAAGGCATGGCTACGGTTTTTGGAGCATACGTTCGTTGTGGATTTTTCGCGAAATTCAGCGCGTATCTTCGTCTCCAAAAACCCAATAGTCATGCCTAGCCCGGTCCTTTAAAGGGATGATGAGAGCAGAACTCAGGATTCCAAATTCGTTAACGCGATCTGAAGCTAGCTCAAAAACCGAAAATTTTGCTGGCACCATCCCTTTAAAGGCTCCCAAACCCTCCCGGACCCCGCGAACCACCCCCGTAATTAGGCGCTCCCCGTCCCGTCGACCTCGATTGACGAGCCCGTAAATCCATTCCACGCTGACCCTCTTGTCAACGAGGTGCAAACGATGAGCCCCGAACGGCTTGTCGACGTCTGGGAAGAAGAGGAAGACATCGACCTCGACGATCCCACCCAAAATTACGACGATGAATTGTCGACGCCCGAAGATCCGAGCCCCAGGTCGGTGGAGGAGCCCCCTTCCACCACTGGAAAAACCAGCCCTGAAGCGCAGAAATTGAACACACCACCTCCGGTTGAACCGACGCCGAGTTTGATGACTGTTCCGGAAGAAGAAGAAGGCATGGAGGATGAACCGGAAGCGGAGCAGGAAGAGGAGCACGAGCCGATTGCGCTGAGCCCGAGGTACCAAGGCGTGAAGTGTGAAGTACAAAGGCTACGAAATACTCCTGGCACCAGCTTTGGCCCGCTACGCAACGCTAAGCACCGCATGGGGCATGGCTTAAAATAATTTGCATATGATAATGGGTTGCGGTCGGTTATTTTCTTTCTCTTTCTCTTTCTCTCTCTCTCTCTCTCTCTCTCTCTCTCTCTCTCTCTCTCTCAACCTACTGTACCCACCCCTCCAAAATTCCCGCTTTTCCGCTCTTTGCCAATTTTCCGAGCTTCGAAAAACACAAGCACTTTTAAAAGACTTAAACGGCACCGTTTTACAGTAAACACGCACCCCAATTTTCCGTTTCTTGCGTTTCTTATGTTTTTACGTTGCGTTCTGTCCTGTTTTTGGTTTTGCTGTGTCTTTTCGGTTCTCTACTAACACTGTCCTCCTACTGTCCTCAGTTCTCTTTCGGCGTCTCGGCGTCCGCTGTTGCCGTGTGGAGCTTCCTGAGACTATGCCAATTTTTGTAAATTGTTAGGGTTAATCGATGGGGTTTAGCCGGCCGGAGTCGTCTTCATCTTCTGAAGGCCCGCCACCATTTGAGATCGATCTCGGGGCATTCGAGTTGGTGGATTCTGGGTTGACGGCTGAGACGATATTGTCGAATGAGGATCCGGTGATATTTCATAAGGTGAGAAAGTGAGAGAGAGAGAGAGAGAGAGAGAGAGAGAGAGAGACAGAAAGAGCGAACCAGTCTGTGTGTCAACCAATTTTGAGAAAGCAATTTTCTCGCTTCGAATCTCCATTTTCAGGAACTCCCCGTCCACTCGGTCCACCACGATACCGTACAAACTGAGGCCGCCCTCGAGAACCTAATGGCGGCGCCGGAGCGGATGCTCAGGTACTTTTTCTAGGTTCTTTTTTCCCAGCTCGCTAGTGGTACGCGACCATACGCGAATCCACAGTAAGAAAAACTTGAAAAATCAAGATTATAGGCCCCTTTAAACTTTTTTTATAGTGGTATGGTTCCGCCGGCGATGGTTGACGACAACTACTGTTTTGTAGTGGATGGGGATAAAGTACGGTGAAACTCGATCTCTCTCTCTCTCTCTCTCTCTCTCTCTCGCTCTCCCTCTCTCCCTCTCTACCCCTCCCATTCCAGATCCGCATGGGTGACATCATGGGAGATGACCAATGGTGGCGCCACACCTCTCGTCCCACCAAATACTTCTATTCCGACGACCTCAAGAAGTTCCACCGTGTCAACTGCATCACCGCTAAGGGCAAGGTAATTGTAGCCCCGTCGTGCTTTATCCCCTTCCAGGTGATATCGGCTGTTTTGGCCTCGGGTAGCATGTCGCTCGATCGGGCTATGCAAAGCCCGTCAATGTCATCAACGCCGAGGAGTTCAGTCAGCGGGGCCAGCTCCAGGACTACTGGCCATAGCCGGGCCGATCAGGTACTTCAAGGGTTTTTGAAGTCTGGGGATTTTTGGCGGTTGTGGAGGGAAAATTGAGAGACACAGCGTAGGCTTAGGCTATTTTAAATGACAACAATCCGTTTTTACGGCAGCAATGATGCATCCAGATGTATTCCTTCCGCAATTCCAAAAATTCCGAGTTTTATTTTGCTAAATTCGCCTTTGCCGTCGAATTGCGGTTGCACTAAAAACGAAAATATGCAAATTGAAGTACATTTCAATGATTTTGCATTAAAAAATTCTTCAAAAAACGTACGGTACCCAAAACTTGCAAGATCTATCGACGGCGCTACTCGATGAGCGCGCGTGAGCGGAACAAGGTTTGAATAAAGCAAATTAGTAGTCGAAAAAGCATGGCGTGAAACGATCTCTCGCCAAGATGTGAACTGTATCCTCTCGTACTATCGCCTAATTTCCTTCTTAAAATGCGCTAAAACTGCTGAAATATCCCCGTTAGCTAAATAAAGCATGTCCGAATTGCGGTGATGATATAACCCTGTGCTTTTTAAGGGGCTGGAAAGTCGTGAAATTTCTTTTTCTCTCTCAGTCTCTCTCTCTCGCCACCTTTATCTCTGTCGCGCGCGCTCTCTCTCTCGCTCTCTGTCTCTCTATCTGTCTTTATCTGTCTCTATCTGTATCTATCTTTCTCATAATCGAAATCTTCATAAAATCCACGACTTCCCCGTCCCTTTAACCATCGGCTTTTCCTTAGAGTGATAAAGCGAATTTATGAAAGGTACCTCTCAAGATACCATGATCAGGTTACGGTATCTTACTATAGCTATGTTTAAACTTTGAAAAGCTACCTGAGTTTTAGTAGGATACAGAAGAACGGATAAGTACGGTAGAATACAGTAAGAGTTATCGGGACCTAGGAAACGGTTCTCTTGGGTTCCGGTAGCCAAACTAGGTACGGTACTTACTAGTTAGGCTTAGGCTCAATCCTAAAAAGTGCCCACGAAAAACGGGTTACCGTACCGATCATACTGTACTATCAGCCGGAACCTGTTGTCCAGAGGGTGGCTATGGTAAGGAAGTGGAATGGCTTTAGCCCGGAGTTTTCAAACACAAATTTTTTTGGAGTTTCTTTCTTTTGATAGTATTTGATAAAATGGGTTTGAAGTGGCTGGCTTTTTTTCAGGCGGAGAGTACATAACGCTACTATATCTTTTGCTTCAACATTTCCTTTTGGTACTGAAATATTGTAAATTTTTGTTTTCTTTTCAGGTGCCACTCGAGCATGTCTACAAGGTGATACGATTCTATTCTTTCTGGAAGACGTGCACATCATTTCATCGGATTGTGACGATGATTGATAAGGTGAGGGAATGAGAGGCTTAGGCTTGGGCTTAGGCTTAGGCATAGGCTGAGGCTTAGGATTAGGCTTAGGCTTGACTTACTGTAAAGTGTTTTTTCTCAACTTGGAGTTTCGATTCGGGACCAAGTGCATCTTGTACAGAATTTTTCGCTGATTCCGAATATGTTTTCCAAATTTGCTACGGACCATTATTCTGAAAGTTATACGGCATTCCTAACCCTAGTTTTCACCAAAGTGAGGTTACCGTTATAGTTATCGATTTTCTTCATTATTTCAACGTCAAAATTGACTAGACGTTGGCCCGACAAGCATCCAGCTCAAAACAAGCATCTTAGCTAAAAAATGAGATTTTTATGCAAAAAGCAAAAGAAATGATGCAGGTCGGGGGTTCGAGGGCTGCCCTGCGCTTGGCAAGCGAGTACTTTGCCAATGCACCACGGTGCCAACTGGGTAGGGTGCTGTCAGAGGGTACTTCAGGGCCCCTGGGAATAATAGAATTTTTGGCATTTTTCGGCCTAATTGTTACCAAAAATGATTTTTTAAATAACAGTGCGTAGCAAATTTGGAAAACATATTCGGAATCAGCGAAAAATTCTGCACAAGATGCACTTGGTCTTGAATCGAAACTCCAAGTTGAGTAAAAACACTTTACAGTTAGGGATAGGCATAGGCTTAGGCTTGGGCTTAGGCTTAAGCTTCGTTTTAGCTTTTGAGGCAAATGTTAGCGTTCTTTGCGGAAATCGCCTGGCAGGGGCAAGCTAGCAGAAATTTCCTGCGGGAAACCAAGATGCCGATTTCGATACAAATTTAAATTTTTTTCAGGTGATCGGCGGCGAGGGCTCACCGCATCCGGAATTCAAAAAGCGCCTTTTCGTGCAGTACCTATGGCGAAACGCAAAGCCAGTGGACAAGGCACGCGTGCAACGCGAGTTCGACCCCCGCCGGCAACGGCTTCTCCGTTTCGTCACCGATCCACAGGCCAAAAAAGCGATGCCCGGCGGATCGGCCGCCCCTCCATTATAGTCCATATCTCATTCGGAATTTTTTTTTGTTGATTTTAAAGGGATGGCGACAGGAGAATTTTAGCTTCGTGTAGTCGAAATTCATATTGTCGAAATTGGCATAAACGCGCCTGTCACGCTCCCCTTAAACTTAGATTCTGCCTTCTTGCTTCTTTTCCCCTCGAAAACTGATGGCTGCTTGTCCGCCAAGTCAACAAAACTGCCCTAGCCGGGTGGATTGTTCGGGATGGGGTTTGAAAAATTGAATTATCTGGGTTACCTGTCGTAATCGGACAAGCCAAACGTTCGTAATCGATTAAGGTAAGCTTATTAAAGTCGCGTAATCGAAAAAGTAGGTTGAATAAGGTCATATTTTACTGAAATTTTACTGAAATTCGATTATTTTTCAAAGCATATTCCCGAAAAATTGATTCTTTAAACATTCAAATAAGCCCAAATTCTCTCGCTCTCTTTCTCTCTCACTCTCTCTCTCTCTCTCTCTCTCTCTCTCTCTACGCCTATCTCAGGGATGCGTGTTGTCAATGAAAAGACGCGTTGTGTGATACTCTTTCCATTTTTTGAATTGATTATTTTGTGTTTGCTTTCAAAGATCTTTTTTTCTGCGTGTCTCCAATCTCTCCACCCTCTCTCTCTATCTCTCTCTCTCGCTCTCTCTCTCTCTCTCTCCACCCTCTCTCTCCCAGATCTGAAGGCTCCAAAATTTTTCATTGTGTGATTGTTTCTCAATTTTTTGGTTTCATGGTGTTTTGATTTTTGGATAGACCACGAATTTCTAATAGAGCTTTATGATGTGCACCTCAAATTTGGGATCTTAGCAAATTCATAGAGGTTGTCTGGAAAAAGAAAAAAGAAAATGGAACACACATCAATAAAAAGCGTCTAAGTATAATAAAAAGAGCGGAAAAAAGCCCCCGTTAAAGGGCACGTTCAGGGACGTTTTTTTCGAAAACAGCAATTTTTTTTTACCGCGGCCGGGGGTCGAATCCGGGCCCCCCGCTCGGGAGGAGCGGACGCATACCGGTCAGCCACAGCTACAACCTGGCGAGGGGGTGAAGGGCGGCCCCACGCCGCAAAGGAGGGGCATGGCCTGTCACAGCACTGGCAGGCAGTGCGCGCGGTCCCTACGTCCATAGGGTGTACACGTTGGGACGAGTACACGGCCCCTCCCTGAACGTGCGCTTTAAGAAATAATTTTATTTTATAATTGCGTTGACTAATTTTAATGATTTTTGTATATTTAGAACGCCGGATGAGCTTGACTGGACCAGCAGAAATCAAGAATTGTTGGATAGAGGTGATTGTTGAGGGTTTAAAGGGAGCGGTAAGCGTGGGTTGGATCGACGGCATTAGGCTTGATTCCGGCTATAGCCCCAAAAGACAAAATCTCGTCAGCCGAGTGGGAGAATACCGATAGGCAAAAATTCCGACAGCCATAAGGCCACCGACCGCGACAAATTAAGATCGGCGAAAGTCGAAAAAACTCGGCAAAAATCCCGACAGCCAAATGGCCGTATTCGGATTCCCGCTAATAAGATTTTTAAGCATCTATCTTGCATGTCGATATTCTTAGTGTCGGGATTATTGTAGTTGATCTTTTGGTTGTCGGTTTTTCGGCCTTTTTCCTGGGCGTAGGGGCGACTAAAGACGTAATCACAATCGTTGGCTTAGACTTGAGCTGGAGAAAATTGTTCTTCTAAATTTGGTATTTTTAGTACATGGTCACGATGACGATGAAGACGAACTTGTCTTTCACATCAACGGCGATAACCTGGAGAAGATCCCCGTGTTCATCCGGAATCACCCACCGATGGATGGGGCGACGACACTCGAGAATACGTTGACCTGTCCTGTCAAGTATTTGTGCAAGGTTTGATAGTTAAGAAGAATTAAATTTTGAAATAGTTTTCAAACTTTGAGAACATATTGAAATTCAGCAAAAAATTCTGCATGTGATAGGCTAGATTCGGAATTTTAGAAAAAGTAAATCCGGGGACCAGAGTAGAATTTAAAGGGGTGTACCAGGCGTCGTAGCCCCAAATTTCAGACAAACCCAACAATGGTCGTCGACAATTTCTGCTTCATCCTTGATGGCGATGCGATTCCGGTGGAGCCGTTGGTTGGCGACAAAACGTAAAATTTCCAGCTTTTTCTGATTCATTCACTGATTTTCAGATTTTGGAAGGAAACGAGCACGACGGCACGGTTCTTCTATTCTGAATCGCTGAAGACCTTCCATCAGGTTATTTCTTATAATAAGGGCTGTAAAGGGCACGTTCGGGGACGTTTTTGGGCAAGAAAGCAAAGATTTTCGCCGCGGCCGGGGGTCGAACCCGGGCCTCCCGATCGGGAGACGCGGTCGCATACCAGTCAGCCACAGGTGCAACCTGGCGAGGGGCCGAGGGGCGCCCCACCCCGGAAAGGAGGGTAATGGCCTCCCACGGCACGGGCAGGCAGCGAGCGCGGTCCCTACGTCCATAGGGTGTACACGTTGGGACGAGTACACGGTACCTCCCTGAACGTGCGTGAAAATGAAGCCAAAACATGCAAATTTCAGGTGACGCTGTTATCCTGGCGCGGCGCTGCGCGTGGCGCGTATATTCGAAGCAAAATAAGGGGCGGCGGGCTGGTCAAGGTGGACTTGGATCGGATTTTTAAGGTTACTAGGTAAGCTTTGCGGATAAGTGAATTTCCTGCTGTCACTCTGCCCTTAAAAGCAAGAAATGGCTCCCAGGAGCTTTAAATATAAATATAAATTAATTAATTACATCCTAATTTTAGATACTTCAGCTATTGGCGCAGCTGCAAAAGCTTCCACCGCATCATCAGCGTCGTCGTCCCGCTCACCAAGGGTACGGTAGCCGATTCAGGTTTGAAAAAGCCCCTCTACTTTCCAGAGGGCGAAGGCTGGTGCGGCTTTAGTTCTCGTGTTTTTGTGCAATATTTCTGGAGGAGCAACAAGGTCAGCTACCGTAACCGGCTACCGTATGCTGCCAATTTTAGGCAAGCGATAAGGAGCGTGTACTGGAGGAATATCTCTCCCATTATGAGCAGATGGAGTGAGTAGGAAAATAATAGTTCAAAATTGGAGGTATTTAGTTCCGCTGCGAGCGGGGTGAGACGACGTAATTTGGCGCGTTTTGGAAGGCAGCCGACAGCCGGTAAGGGTTTATAGGGATTGGGAAGAGAAGCTTAGGCTTAGGCTTAGGCTTATGCTTACAAGGAGACGTTTTTAAGTGTCGTCGGGAATTTGACATGGGACCAAGCCTATCTTGTGCAGAATTTGACGCTGATTCCGAATATGGTAACCGTTTTTGCGGAATAGCCATTTCTCGAAAGTTACGAACGATTTAAACCTCAAAACAGCCCAAAATCGGCTACTTCCAATAGTCATAAAAGGCTTCGGAATAGGTTTTAGACAAAACCAGATGGTACATCTTGTTCAGAAAAAAATTTTCTATAAAATGTACCATCTTCTCCAAAATCATTGAAAAGTTAGAAAATTTGAATGATTGGGAGGCCCCTAATTTTACAAAAATTTTCAAAATTTCAACATTTTTGAGTTAAGTATTTTATTTTAAAGAGAATTCCGAACCGAATTAAGAACCTATTCCGAAGCCTTTTATGACTATCGGAAGTAGCCGATTTTGGGCTGTTTTGAGGTTTAAATCGTTCATATATATATATATATATATATACTTTATTCAGTAGTTGAATAAGAGTGGGGAGTAGGCAATGTGTGGTGCCACTGGTTCAGAGGTTGTATAACATGCGGAAACAAACGGGGGAGGGAAGAAAAGATCACAGAAATTGGGACAGGTCCATTTTTTCTAAAGTTACACGAAAGCTCTTTGCATTTCCCAATTGACCTTCTTTGAAGACCCTAGGCGGGAGCTTATTCCAGGTTTTCGCAACTCTACGCGAGAAGAAAGAACGGGGGAAACCTTGCTTACTATGGATTCTCTTCACTTGAAAAGCATGGGAATTCCTTATCGGACGATTTGTGCATTCCAAAAATTTGAAGGGAAAAGTTTCTACAAAAAAAGACTTATAAAATGTAACTAAATCCGCTTCTGTTCTACGGTGCGCTAGAGTGGGAAGGGAAAAGAATTTTAGTCGATCTGGGTAACAGGGCATAGGCTCATTTGGGAACAATTTCTTATAGGCAAAGAAAGTAAATTTACGTTGGACACTTTCAAGTTCATTGATGTTTCGCTTTTTGGTTGGGTTCCAAATCTCGGAAGCGTACTCCAAAATCGGCCTAACTAAAGTACTGAAAGCACGCCGGTACGTGATCGCATTTGGAATTTGAATTCTTTTGATAAGAAGGAAGGATATACGAGCGGCTTTTAATCGGATAGCGGCGATATGCGATTCAAAGTTAAATTTCTGATTGTAAGTGATCCCTAGGTCCTTAATCACATTTGTTCTTGGTATCCGGGTATTGTCTACGTAGAGATCTTGGAAACGGGCTGGGGGAATGTTCGTTAGGATAAAAGTTTTGGAGGTTGAAAGCGACATTTCATTTTCAACACACCAGCTTTTGACCGCATTTATATCTGCCTGGAGGGCTCTAAAAGCCGGATCAGCCAGGGTGGGGTTGCGTGGCACGCCGGCGTAAATTTTTAAGTCATCAGCAAAAATTAGGCTACTGTTCGTTAGAAGGGAAGGAAGATCGTTTATATAGATGAGAAAAAGTAGTGGGCCTAATACGCTACCTTGAGGGACTCCTGAGGGTTGTGGGTGGGCGTTCGACTTTTTGATCACCTATTTTCACATAGAAAGATCGATTTGTCAAATAGGCTTCAATCCAAGTAACCAATATCTGCGGAAAACCTATATGAGAAAGCTTAGTGATTAAAAGTGCGTGGGGAAACTTTGTCAAAAGCTTTGGCTAGATCAAAATAAATCGTGATAGGGTCCTCGTCGGCGTCGATTTTCTCAGAGATTTTGTGAAACATTTGCAAAAGCTGCGTGGTCGTGGAATGAAACTTTCTAAAGCCGAATTGGGCTGGCGAAAAGAAATTATTTAGCTCAAGACGCGCCACGATTTTCGTTTTTAAAGCTACTTCCATTAGTTTGCAAATGGAGGAGGTCAGGGCAACGGGGCGGTAGTTTCCGGGCGAGGTTTCGTCCCCTGATTTAAACAATGGGAAGATTTGCGATACTTTCCATTGGTCGGGGGATCTGTCCCGAAAGAAGCGAAAGGTTGAAAAAGTGGCATAGAATTTTGGAAAGTGTCTGAGAGCAGTTTTTTTAGGAAAAAGGCTGGCAGGTTCTCAGGCGTCCAGTGCAGTTTTGGCTCCAATAATTTGAAAGCATTTTCTACATCGATCGGGGTTAACAGAAAGGCTGGAAAAGTAGAATTTGGTGCAACTAAAGAGAGGGATCTAGTCGAGGAGTGGTCTACACCGGCGTTTGTGTAGACCTTTGAGAAATTTAGCGCTAAAATTTCAGGAATTTGTTCGGCAGAGGTTACTAACATGCCTGTAGGGTTTACAAGAGCCGAGGCGGGAGGTTTTTTGGGCCTGGAGTTAAGATAGGAAAAGATACGCCTTGGATTTCCGGAGGAGAAGACGCGACGCTCAAAATTTGAGAGAAATTTGCTACAATTTCGCTTGTGTTGATTTGAACTAGCAAGATATTCGTCGAAAGATGTTTCGCCTCTTGTAAAGCGTTTCCAAAAGGTTTCTTTCCGGTTTGCCGAGCGGGATATGTGTTCGGGTATCCTAGAGGGAGCTCTAAAACCTTTTTTGGGCACAAAATTGGAACAGATCTGTCCTAGTTTATGGATGATTTGGTCGTACTTTGATTGCAGGCCTAGCGCCTGGTTTGACAAAAATGACCAGTCAGCGTGGTAGATTTCGCAATTTATGTTTTCAAAATCGGCTTTCGTAAAGTCTAGGCCGGACGGTTGAAAGTTACTTTTTGACACTACGCAATCTACTTTAATGACCATGCTTAGATGATCGCATTTGGCGAAAGGCGCGTGGGGGAGAACAAGATGTGACAAGGCCGGGCGACGAAATAGCCACGTCTAGCATTTTTCCGGTTTGTGGGTATGTGGCAAAATTTGAGACTAACGTTAAGCCTAATTCTACGGTAAACTCGTGCAAAAGGAGAGCCCTTTTGTCGCCGAACGTCGGGACGATGCCTGGAAAGATTGAAAAGTTTAAATCGCCGACCAATAAGACATGTTCGGCAGCGGCAACATGACCATCTAGACTTGACAGCAACAACTTAGTGTCCTCAAACGTAACTTGCCGCGGCCTATAAAGGTTGATAAAGCGGAGTTGTTGAAAATTTAGAAATATATCGAGAATTAAGATTTCGCTTCCGTAAGAAGAAGTGGAAAGAATTATTTTTGTAGGAATGTGGGATCTAACTAAAATGCAAACGCCACCTCCTGTTCTATCTTGCCTATCGGCGCGAAAAACCTTATATGCTCCTACGGGTCCAGTAAGTAGATTATCGGGCACAATCTCGGAAAGCCAGGTTTCTTGGTAAAAAATCATGTCATAAAGGTTTTCTGCTAGGAGCGTTTCGTGTTCGACTAGTTTAGTTTTAATGGAACGGGAGTTTAGCGAAAATATTGTCAAGGTGGGGGAAATGTTAGGGCTGCGAAGAGGACTGGGACCGGGTATGGGGGCGCGGAGAGGGTTTGACAATGACCGTGGCGGCAGAGGAATCGCTAGCAAGGGACGAGGTGCTGCCTTTCGCATCCTTCGGATCGTATCCCGGCAAAATGTCCTCGCGATCAGACGATCCGTCGTCATCTATCGTTTTGCTAATTTTGTGGAGTTGCTGCTGACCGTCGGCGGCATTGGCCTTCCTCTTCGTTTGGAGAGGGCCTTTGCCAGCTTGGGAAGCCACCCTTTGTCCGAACTTTCGATTTGGCTTCCTATTAACCGCAGGGCGGAGCCTAACCTGAGTGAGCGGTTGGTTAGGCAGAGTGGAAGTTTCCGGGTCGATTTGCATGATTTCCTCATCATACTGGGTAGAAGCGGCGATTTCTTTCGTCGGCTCTGCGTTGGGACGGCCGGGGCTGAAGCGTGATGGATCAGATTTACGGACTTGTAGGCCGCGAGCTGCGTAAGGCAGCTTGTTCGCTGGAGTTCTGCGAAACGTCGCAACTGCGTTCGACACCATATGCCTAGAGGAGACGATGAGCTTCAGGGGCCGCGGTTTTGAAAAATCGAGAACTCCCATTCGATAGCTATAGACAATATCCATTCGATAGCTATAACTTTCGAGAAATGGCTATTCCGCAAAAACGGTTACCATATTCGGAATCAGCGTAAAATTCTGCACAAGATAGGCTTGGTACCATGCCCAAGTCCCGACGGCACTCAAAAACGTCTCCTTGTTAGGTGTAAGCTTAAAGTGATTAGGCTTAGGCTATACTTTAGGCTTAGGCTAGAATCGGGCTCAAGCCATGCTGATTTTAGTAATTTTCAGTACTCAACCGCCCCCTCTCCTCCGCCAAAAGCACCACGGATTTGCTGAGAAAGCGAAAATCCCTGGGCGGATGATGGCGCGACGAGCCCCAGCCCGAGCACGGGTCCTAGGAAAATTTGCTTTATCGATTTTTTGTAATAAATATTGTATTTTTCGATGGTTTCGATTTTAACATCGCAAAAAGCAACTGATCTTGATCTTCCGGGATCAAAAAAATTAGAAAAAGCGGTAAAAATACAAATTCGAGAGGGCATAAATATGCAGCAGCTAATCATCGTCCAGAGGTGTCAGTCGGAAAAAGGGCGTGGGTAATTTTGTTCTCTCTCTCTCTCACTCTCTCTCTCTCACTCTCTCGCTCTCGCTCTTCGGGATTACGGTAATTACCCCCCCCCCCCCCCCCCCCCAAAAAAAAAGCCATCCCCCGCTTGAGCGATGAAATGGGTCCTAGAATACGACAATTTTTTTTGATGGGGCCTAGGCGTCTGGCATTTTAGCCCCCAAGCCTAGTCTATTGGTATTTCAAAACAAAAAATGTGGGTTTCAGAGAAAATCTGTACTTTGTAGTTCCAGGACTACTCCTAGAATCGTCAAATTCTCATTTC